CCGCCTAACCTAACCACTACTTTCGCCGGAGGTTTCGTCACGCTCCCCGATGGCGAAATCCTCCATTACAACAAAAGTGTCTGTTTAACCTAACCTTAGTACAAGGTCTATTGGTGTCCTCAATTTTATAGAGGTTAGCCACCCGAAGTCAATAAGAGACAAAGAAATAATCCAAGCAGCCTAAACTGTTTAGCCTGACCGTGGTAAAGTCTAACGGGGGACCTTAAATTTTATATAATAATAATAATACAGGCAACTACCTAACCACTACCGGGCCGCCGAACCTAACCACTACTTTCGCCGGAGGTTTCGTCACGCTCCCCGATGGCGAAATCCTCCATTACAGCAAAAGTGTCTGTTTAACCTAACCTTAGTACAAAGTCTATTGGTGTCCTCAATTTTATAGAGGTTAGCCACCCGAAGTCAATAAGAGACAAGGAAATAATCCAAGCAGCCTAAACTGTTTAGCCTGACCGTGGTAAAGTCTAACGGGGGACCTTAAATTTTATATAATAATAATAATACAGGCAACTAACCAGCCACTACCGGGCCGCCTAACCTAACCACTATACTTTTCGCGGAGTTTCGTCACGCTCCCGATGGCGAAATCCTCCGTACAGCAAAAGTGTCTGTTTAACCCTAACCTTAGTACAAAGTCTATTGGTGTCCTCCAATTTTTTATAAGTTAGCCGCAGAAGTCAATAAGAGACAAAAGAAATAATCCAAGCTTGTACCACTATATCTAGCCTAAACTGTTTAGCCTGGCGTCGTAGAAGTTTTTTAATAAATCTGGTGATATGGAATACACGCCCCTTAACCTGGGATAATGCAATCAAATGGATAATTGCTAACTATTCTCCAGAGATAATGCAATCAAATGGTTAGTTGCTAACCGGGGCTGCGCGGATACCCCTGTGTTAGATACTGTATTTGGTCATGATGAATTGTTTATTAGACTATAAGAAATCCTCTTCCTTCTTGTATTGGCAAGGGGAGTTTGCTTTAACTTGGGTATGCTAGCCTAAGTAAAAATAGACACGGAGCTGCGAAGACCTGATTCTTTTGCTGCATGTTTGAGTCTGCAACTTTGTTGTGATAAGACACTCAATCCTAGTGATTGTACTTACTCAACATAGTGACGGTGTAATTACCATCACAGATTGTACGGGAAATTCCAACTTTGGAAAAAACAAATATTTGGCCTACCCAAATTTTGACTACTACCCGTGCGTCTACGTCCTGGATTGGCCAATCAGTGGTGCCCCACGGTGGCGTGATACATGCACGTTTACTGCGGTGCTCTGATTGGCTGACCGAACGTGGCGTGGTAGGTAGGCTGTTTCTACTCTCTAAGTCCTCTTCTTTCCTTTTTTCATCCCCCTCATGCACTCCGTTCTTTGAACGGGAGGCGGGACTTCGCGATACGGTCGATCCGGCAAGGGAGCCTGTGATAGTGCAGGGCACCCCTTGTCCGGGGGTCACCGGTAGGTGGCAACTTT